GTTGGTGTTGGTGTTGGTGTTGTTGCCGATGATGCCGTTGTGTTCCTTGGTGTGGTTTGCAAACGAAGGCGTTGCGTTTTGGAAGAGAGCAAGACCGGCCTTCTGGGTGTACAGCATGTAGGATCGGTGGCGCTCGTTGTCCTTGTGGAACTTCTTGTGTTCGTGTTCGCGCTGGTGTTGGTGTTCGTGTTGGTGTTCGTGTTGGTGTTGGTGTTGGTGTTGGTGTTCGTTCTGTCCGATGCCTGCCGCCAGGGGCTCGTCCTGTTCTGTGGCTCGCGGGAGACTCTGGTGGTGGACGGATGGGAACGAACAAACGCGATGAAACGCGACGAAACAAAACAGGAGGGAATGAGATGTTACGCGTGTGGTTTGGAACGAGAAGAACCAACACAACCCGCCGGTGGACGATCGGTTGGGAACAAACGAATCCATGAGCAGTCGCACAACAAACACAATTCATTGTTGTGTTGCACATTCCTACGCGTCGGTTCTGTTCGCAAACACTTTCGTTGCGTTGCGCTTCGCTTAGCTGTGTCTTTCCCACCGCTCCGTTCTGTTCTGCTGTGTTCTGTTCGGTTCTTACCTTTCCGGACAAGAGGCTCGCGGTGCCGTTCTTGTTGTACTTGCCAAAGAACTTCGGGAGCACTCCGAATCCCTCGGCGTTGGTGTTGGGTCTTCGATCGAAACCAAAGCTCGGGGCCGACATCTTGAAGTCGACGGCGCTGTAGGATACGAGACAGGCCGCTCCGATCCAGACCACCAGGCAGCAGCAGATGTAGGTGCTGCGCACGCTGGCGTCTGCGCTCGTGCTCGTGCTCCTGCTCGGATTCGCATCCACACCTGCTCCTGCTGCGGAATTCCTCCTCGTTTGCTTTGGGGAAAAAGGATAAGCCATGGTGTTGTTTTGTTTGTTGTTCTACTGTACTGCTTATGCTACGTCTTATATGAATTATATTGTATACGAGCGAACGAAAAAAAGTGTTTGAAACCGAATTCTACTTTTGTTTCGTTGTTTGTGCCGGATTGGGTCGTAGTAGATTGTAGTAGATTGTAGAATATCTATTGGCAATCGAACGGTATATGCATTTGTTGTTCTAAGGAAAACTAGGGGATTTTATGTGACTACAACGATGGGGTCCCGATGGGGTCCTGATGTGTTTGGCGGCCTTTTCTTCGTACCACTTCGTTCGATACCGTTTGTCGTTTTGGAGTGACAATTTTGTTTGCCGCAATGTTGGGCATCGCAATACGGAGTACGGTACCAAGCAGTACCACGGTACAACTGGGTTCTTCTTCCTTCGAGTTCCCCACGTGCGAGCCGAGATTTTTCGATAGCATACCGTAGGAAGCTTAACCACAGGCCTCCCCATAGATGTTTGTTAGTATACCAAAAAATGGAGCCCGTTCTACAAGTATTCAAGTTGGAACTTAAACCACTCCCCGCGTCTGGTCCATGCTCGCCATATATGACAAAAAAAATAGAATGCTATCGCATATATGAATTCGATGGGAATTATAGGGGAGGCGCTTGAAGCCGTCAGTTCCCAGTACCGATGAGCGAGAAGTCGATTTAGCGTCATTCAATTTGTCCGTGAAATGATTCATCCTGTGTCAGATCTCAGTAGTATTGACAATATATATGGGATTCTGTGTTTCTTGAAACAGCGTAATACCTGACAGAAAATTCCTTGAGGTATCTTCGGATCACAGCCCCCGAACAGAAACACGGTCGCGAGCGACCAAAGATAGTTTCTAGTTATACAATTGAAAAACGAAGGAAAACATAGACTACCATAAAAGATCGAAAATGGTAATATTATTCATAAGGGCATGTTGAATCCTCCAGAAAATAATATAGTACTTCTAGTCTGCAATAATAAAATCAGTTCAACACTAAATTATATGCTGTCATGGGCACTCTGCTCGTACTAGTTGTCTTCGCATGATAACCATTACATATGCAATTGGTAAGGGTCACAAATGCGACACGTCTGGACTTCATTTGGGTTCTTCTGGCCAGAAATACGATTACGATGTCCCAATACGTTCGTACGTACGTATGTACTCGTACCGATACCAAAGACCTGTGATCGGACGGGCACACAGCACCTCGCCGTCGCCGCGGCATCGGAGTAATACAAATCGACAACGCGCTACCAAATAGTGGCATGACAACAAATAACAATTTTAAGCGCTTCTTGATGATATTTAATGGCATAAAAGTAGTAACAAGGCACGTCCTCGATGACCAATGACAGGAAACTACGTACTAACGAAAGGGGATGAGTGCATTTATCGACAAAGAACTTCTAGAAGAAGAAATAAAAGTAAAGAGATAAGATGAGATGAGATGAGATGAGATGACCAGTAGTACTAGTAGGGAAAGCCATCGTTACCACCACACACTCTAGACCCCTTCAAAACAAGGAAGGTTCCCCTTTCAATACTGCTCCAACTTTTCTGGAATGATACTACTAGGACAAATGAAATCATCATAATCATAATCATAATCATCATCATCATCATCTTATGTTAATATTGTTCTCACAAAGATGAAAATCATTGTGAAGGAATCCTGGTAAACCAACACAAAAAAATATAAGCACCATAACTTTGTCAAAAATGGGAGTTAGATCATTATATTTAGCATCAGATATGATCCCCTTTGGCACCAATAAAGAGGACCGCATTTTGCTACAAACCCCATCTTTGATATTTTGGAAAGGGCACTACTCAGACAGCATAAATACTACT